CTCTGATAATCTTTGCTTTGAAGTCTTGTCCTTCCTCATAGTTTAGGGCTTTTTATTATCTTTACAACAACAAGAAGTTGAACAATACACAAGAAGTTAAAGCAGGGGTGAGGGAGCTGCTTCTTCCTGCAGTTCCCTCCACAAGGCTCACACCAATCCCTCCCTCCCTCCCTCCCTCCCTCCCTCCCTCCCTCCCTCCCTCCCTCCCTCAAGGCCAGTATCTTCCCCATCTTATCCAGAACCTTCCCCACCTGCTCCCCAAGTCTGGGTTGGCTTCTTGCCTTCTCCTTTGGGTCCTCTGCAAAAGGGGTCACTACTCTTGACCACTGAGCCACTTCTCCAGCCCCTTTTGTGGTCATTTGGAGACAACGTCTGGACTGAATTCCGTATGGTAACGGGAGTTCTCCCCCCACCCCCAAGTCTCCGGAGAGAAGAGCAGGCATTGCACCAGCACCGGCGGCACTCGGTCTGCAGGCTCAGCCTCTCAAGGTTAGTTTTCTCCTTACAAGCCAATGGTCACCCTTCTGCAAGTTGACACCCTCTGCGTTATACATACAGAGATCTGGTACAAAATAGTCTGTGGTGCTGGCTGAGGGCACTTGGGTACTGCTCTCCACAGAGCTTACAAGACCTCACCTGACTCCACGAAAGACGGTGCGCACTGTGACGCCAGGGACTAGTCACACACCCCTGTCTCAGTCACTTTTCATCCCCTTGGACTCTTCAGGATACAGCCTTATGAGCATCTGTGAATCCCAGGGGATGTTGTTTGTTTTCAAGTAAAACCATAGGAGAAAATTATCAGAAAACACCTCAGGAGATTGTTATGAGGAATGGGCTGTAACAAACCACCATTGTATCAAGAAAGATTCTCCCCCCTCCCCCGCCCCAATTAGTGGTGGTGGTTTTCCTTGTTTGATTCTTAAATCACAGATGCCAGAGACTTGCTTCCAATCAGAAATGTGTGTGATCCTGCTGTCCTCATTAAGAAAGTCAGGCCTGGCTGGGTGTACAGGCCTCAAATCTCAGCTCCTAGGGGAAGCCTGAGCACCCAGACCTTCAAAACCAGCCTGGGCATTCCAGGGAGTCCCTGTCTCAAAGCAAGAAAGTGCTGGAATTCCCACTGGGTGTGCTAAAACTGTAACTGAAGGATCTCTGAGACAAAGGAGGTGGGTAGAGCAGCCCACGCCTGTAACCCCAGCTCCCGGGAGGCAGAGTGAGCTGATCTCTGCAAGCAGGAAGCCAGCCTGGGTTACTTAGTGAGTTGCAGGGTAGCAAGGGCTACAGTAACAAAAGCAAGACCATGAAGATGTTAACTACCTGCAGCTTTATTGCTCAGGTTGGTTTTAGCTTGGCTTTTAGTACTCACAGCCCTCACCCCCATGCCTCTTCGTGGCCCCAGCGGTCCTGGAACTCAATCTGTACAGCAACTCAGAGAGTAAAGATGTGTTACACCAAGCCTGGCTTTTTTGTTTGTTTGTTTGTTCTTTATTTTTGTTTTGTTTTGGCTTGCTTGATTTTTGTTTGTTTGTCTTGTTCTGTTTTCCCAGACAGGATGGACTTGACTGTTTTCCCAGACAGGATGGACTTCAGCATGTACCTTAGGCTAGCCTTGAATTCCTAACCCTTCTTTTACACCTGTTTATTATTTCCTGGAAGGAGAGACGGTGCTGGTGCCTGGGGTCCATGAGGAAGTCAGCACAATCTGCAGATGTCTTGGTTTGCTTTTTCCACCATTTGGGTCCCAGGGATTGAGATCACATCATCACACGTGGTAACAACGACCCATCTTCCAGCCCTCAAACCCTCAGTGCTTCCTCAGACTGTCAAGTGCTAGGATTACAAGCATCCAACACTGTCTGCCTAATAAAGGTCTCTAGATGATGACATAAAGTGAAAAGGAAACCGAACTTAGAATGTAGCTCAGTGGTAGAACACTTGCCTAACATACACTCTCCCTAGATTGATTCCCAGAATGTGTTTTTTTTTTTTTTTTTTTTTTTTTTTTAAGACAGGGTTTCTCTGTGTAGCCCTTGCTATCCTGGACTCACTTTGTAGACCAGGCTGGCCTCGAACCCAAAGAGATCTGCCGGCCTCTGCCTCCCTGAGTGCTGGGATTACAGGCGTGTACCACCATGTCCGGCTGATCCCCAGTATCTCAAAAAAAATTTTTTTTTCCTTAAAGTTGGGCGTGGTGGCACATGCCTTTAATCCTGGCACTCAGAGGCAGAAGAAGAGGCAGGCGGATCTCTGTGAGTTCGATGCTAGCCTGATCCACAAAAGGAGTCCTGGACAGCCAGGGCTACACAGAGAACCCTGTCTTGACAAAAAACAAACAAACAAACAAAAAACCCAACTTATTTATGTACTTATTTAGTTTATTTTTGTAACAGGTTTTCTCTGTGTAGCCTTGGCTGTCCTGGAGCTCACTCTGTAAATCAGGCTAACCTCAAACTCACAGAGATCTGACTGCCTCTGCCTCTGGAGTGCTGGGATCACAGGCATGCGCCACCACAGTTCAGCTGAATCTGAATTTTTAACGTGGGTCCTTGGGCTCCAAACTCAAACTCACATAGTTAGGCTTGCTTGGGCCTGGTGCTTTTTTTTTTTTTTTTTTTTTTTTTTTTTAACTGTGCCAGGAAATGGTGGCATACACCTCTAAATCCTGGCACTGCCTCTGCCTCCTGAGTGCAGAAAGGCAGTAGATCTATCTGTGTGAGTTCAAGGCCAGCCTGATCTACATAGTTAGTTCTAGAACATAGTTCTAGCACTACCTGGAGAGACCCTGTCTCAAAACAACAAAAGACTTACTGATTTTGATTTTGTTCTGTTTACTCTGTAAACCAGAGTGGTCTTGAACTCACAGAGATTCACCTGGCACTGCCTCTCAGTGCTGAGATTAAAGCATGTGCCCGCATACCTGGCTATTTATTTGCAGACTCATCCTCACTCTGTGGCCTTGTTAGGTCTAGCTATCCTGTCACCCACCATGTTCCTGGAGCTGGAATGGACTGCCCAGTGTAGAGGCTGGGACACTGGTCCTTTGGTTATCTGCAAGAGCAACAGACACTTGAAACTGCCAAGGCCTCTCTCCAGTCCTGACTTAAGCACTTCTAAGTCCCTGTTACCGGTCAGGAAAGAAATCAGTAGAGGCTGTGCTGAGAGCACTCACTAACTCAATGTGCCTGCTACCCCCCTGGCGTCTGTTGTGAGCTGGCACCATTGTGTGCCCCATCCTGGCACATTGCCTTCAGAAGAGCACAGAGGTGGAATGAGCTGCTCTCTGAAACAGCAAACTCCCGAGGTCAACATCATGTTCCTCCTGTCTTTCACAATGACATACATATTAGGAAGACCATAAATATTATACATATTTATATAACAGAACAGATTTTAAAAAAATCACTTATTGCTGAGAACAGGAAGCAGTTTGTATCAGAAAATTATAAGAAACATCCAAACCCCGGAGGTAATTCCTGTCCTGCCTTGCTCAGACCACTCTGGCATTCTCGGCTAGAGACACCCATTACTCTACGCGAGACAGAGCGGCCCCAGCTTCGGTCTCAGGCATTACAACAAGCAGGGCACTCAGCGGGCATGCAGAACGCTTAGCTGCAAGCCTCGGCCTCTGCTGTCAGCGCGGTGCTGCACACCTGTAATTCTAGCTCCCTGGAAGGGGACGCAGCAGCGGCAGCATCCTGCTCAGGCCCATCCGTGGCTACTTAGTGAGTCAAAGCCAGCCTGAGCTACAGGAGAACGTGTTTCAAATAAGTGAGCCCACACTTGGGAACAACAACAAAAAACTGGGGACATCAAAATTACTTTCACGGTAGTCAACGAATTCAGTCTCACCGTGGGGCACCGTGGAGAGGGGAGCGCTTTACCGCTGACCTGTAGCCCCTGTACTTTCGGAAAACAATCCATGGAAAATGAAGCATAGCAGTCAATAAAGTGTTTAATTTGGGAATGCCAATATTTATCGACCCGATTTTCAATTTTGTGGACAGTGAAGGTCTCATGAGGGGCAAAGCAGAACTTAATGGGGAAAAAGGCTGGGGAGAAAAACGGAGAGCTTTGTTTTCATACATTATATTCATTTACATGGACACTGGATATTTTATCTAAGTACGGTGACTTTCTTAAGTTAAGTAGCTGGGCGTAGTGGTGCGTACTGAATTTCAGGACAGCCAGAGCTACCTAGTGAAACTGTTTTTAAAAAAAGAAAAAATAAAAGACAAGTCAGGAGCGGAAGCGGGCGTAGCCCAGGCCGTTTCTTACAGTCCTCTGGCTTCTTTAGGGAAGAAAGTGGGGTTCCGAATCAGGGGCCGCTGGTTGGCGTGCTCAGAGTTGGCTCTAAGGCACTCTCCTCTTCTTCCTGTGGGTCCGCGCTAAAAGGTCGCCTGCATCCATTAAGAGTTTCCTGCGGTGGAGCAAGCGGAGCCCAGAAAGCCGGAGGCGCAATTCCGGAGCCCAGCTCCGCCGGGTCACTCTCTCGGCCGGGGCACGGAGCAGCGTAATTTCCCTGAGTTTCGCTTTCATTCTTTGGGGAATGGGAGCAGCGTAAGTGTTAAGAAGGTTGCTGCGAAGATGAACCGGGCCTGTGTGTGAAGAGCTTTTTTTTTCCTCCAGCTGTAAATCGCTCCCCAGATGTTAGTTATTATCGCCATTAAAGGACATGGAATCCGTTTCCACCGTACGGGAGCTTGCAAGAAAGCCTCCTTGACACTTTCCGCCGCAACTTGACCCGGAGCTTAATCGGGTTGTCAAGCCAAAGGGTTCTGGCGCCCCGCAGCGGCCTGGGGCAGGGTCACCCCCGCGGTCGGCGCGGTCACCGCGCGTCCCCTCCGGGAGCCGCAGCTCCCCCACGATCCTCCCTCGGCCGAGGGTCGCGGCGATCCCCGCCTTCGGGGTGGCTCGGGCCGGAGGGGGTGGGGCGAGCCGAGGGGGCGTGGCCTGGCGCGGAGGGCGTGGCCTGGGCCTCCGGGCGTTCCGGGCCGCTGGTGGGTGCCCGGAGCTGGCGAAGCAGGAGCTGGCGGAGCCCCGCGCGCTCGGCCGGTGGCCTGCACGCCCCGCGGTGCGGGCTGCACCCTCGGGTTCCCCCACGGCTCTGGAGCCGGACCCGCGTTCCCCGCATCTCAACAGGTCAAGGGAGGTGACGAGGACGCCCCGGAGGACCAAAGAAGCTGGAAGGTAAGCGGGGCGCTGCGTGCCCGGGGCTGGTCCCCCGCCCCGCGGTCGCGAACTTCTCGGCAGCCCGGCAGCCCCGCGCGCTCACTCCGGGGCCGGCTCGGCCGCCTTCCGGGGGGGGGGGGGGCAGCGTTTGGGCAGAGCGGGGCGCGGGGGCCCGGCGCGCGCCGCCCCTGTCTGCGGCTCCTCTGCAGGTAGCTTCCCGAAAGCCCGGGGTCGGGGTCCGGGGAGCTCGCCCGCCCTCCTCCTCCCTCCCCGGAGCCTAGCGTCCTGCGGGGAACGTCCCGTTGCCGGAGCCCGGTCCCCGAGTTGCGTAACGGAGGAGTCCCAGAAGTTTCTTGAGGAGTGCCAGCCAGGTTCTCGCCACGGGGCGGTGGTCGGCGTCCCGGGGGGGGGGGGGCGGGGGAGAAGTTGGAGGCGTTTCTGAGAACCGCTGTGCGGGACGGAGCGGGGCGGCATCTCAGGGACGAGGGTTGGTCATTTTCTCTGGACGCTTCCCCGCCCCCCCTCCCCCCCGCTCCCCTCTCCACTGTGCTCTCCCTTGGCGGGTCCTCCGGGACTGCGCCTGGCTCGGCCTGGGTCGCGGAGTTGGAGGGGGCACAGATCGAGAGAGGGAGCACTGCTCGTAAGGCTTCCTGTGGGCTCCTCTGACTTCCACGCGCGGAGCCCCGAGGGGCCTGGCAGCGTCCTGCGGTTTTGAGTTTCTCCGCCAGCACTGTTATGCAAATCGCCCCGAGACCCTTGGCTTTGGAGGCTGGGGGCTGGGTTCCGAACCTTCCGAGAACCGGAGCTGGCCGACCGCCCCGGCTGCCGGCGGTTCTGTTTGCCTCGCTTTGTACTCTTTTTGAAGGGTTAGGGTGGGATAATTTGAATCCTGTTGGCGCGCCGCGGGGGGTAGGACCGGCCGCGGGGGAACTTGGCACATTGAAAACCTTCAGTGCGGAACCAGGAACCGAGAGGCCGACGCGGTGCTGCCTGGGACAGTTGCAAAGTGAGAATTCCGAGCTCTGCAATGGAGGCACGGGAGGCTGTCCTGGCAGTCCGAGGGGTGTGGGGCTGTGCGCAGGATTCCGGGCAAGGTCGTGCAGAGTGCTCGCAGGGTGGCCTGGGTGGGTACCTCTCTCAGACCTAGGCGCTGCCAGGCTCGTGGGCTGAGCTGGGGGCTTCGCGGAGGATTCAAGTTCCTTCCTGCGGCTTACAAATGCCGGCTTTGGCCCTGCTAGAGTGCCTGCTTTCTCTGTCTGATGCATTTCCCTAGCTTGCCTTTCATCTTTAGTGGAAAGGATTCCTTGAGTGGGCTTTCTAGAAATAGATTCACACGAGATTAAAAATTCTTGGTGGCTCGCCTGCTTCATTTAAAGGTGGTTTCTTGCCTGTGTGTGGGAAGATAAGCCCCCATAAAAGGAAAGGGGAGAACGGAAAGCTAACAGTCCCAAGAGGGAGAGGAGGGAAGGTGAGTCCTAATTAACTAGGGAAAGTCATTTGAACGCGGTGTGTTCAGGAGAGCCTGGGAAAGGCTTTGAGATGAAGAGGGGTCAGAGTGAGGCTGAGGGGAAGACCGGCTTTTAGACAGGAGTGATTAGCTTTATATTTGAAAGATCACGAGTTTGCTCGTGTTGCGGATGTGGTACCCACAGGTTAGATCCTTGGAGTATCTTTGCCATTTATCTGCAGAAGAGAGCTGGGCGATGAGACAGTAGCTTTAGCATGTCTTATTCACTGTGGAAAGTGCGTTTTTATAGGGCCTTTGGCTTCAGTCATTTTCATAACTCTTCGACCTTGCAAAATACAATTTTGATGAATCATGTTGTCTTTGGTTAGGATACAAGGATCACCCAAAGGATAGACAATATAGCAAAATAAAGACCTCACAGTGTGTAGAACAAGCCAACTACCCCCCCCCCCCCAGGTCCGTTATGGGGTAATCAGGCAGTATCTGAACCTGCTGTTTCTTCTATTTCCTACTTGGTTTAACTGAATTTTGTAAAGAGCTGCTGGTTGAGCTAACAGGTGGTAGAGGCAACGTTCCTCCCCCGTTTTTCACCCTCTGCCTCCTTTTCACCCTTCTGGTTTTTGTTTGTTTTGCTTTTGATTTTTTCAGACTCACTATAGTCCTGGGATCCTTCTGCCTCAACCATTGAGCCCATCACTGCCATCACTCCAGACATTCACTTGAGTTGGGTGTGGTGGCACATGCCTGTAATCTCAGCACTCGGGGGAGGCAGAGGCAGGCGGATCTCTGTGGGTTTGAGGCCAACCTGGTCTACAAATTGAGTCCAGAACAGCCAAGGCTACACAGAGAAACCCTGACTTAAAAACAAAAACCAAGACATTTCCCTTCAGATATATCCATATTTGGGGCTGGAGAGATGGCTTGGTGGAAGACAGCTCAGTGGTTAAGAGTCTCGGCTGCTCTTCCAGAGGACCTGGATTCAGTTCCCAGCACCCACATGGCAGCCTACTACTGTCTGTAACTCCAGTTCCAGGGGATCCCACGCATGCGCACAAAGCTTACCCTTAAGAAGGGTAAAAGCCAGCGTGACGTGGCACTGTGGAGGCAGAGGCGATGGATCTCTGTGAGTTCTGAGGCCAGCCTGGTTTACAAAGTGGGCTTCAGGGCTACACAATGAAACCCTGTCTCAAAGGGGAGAGGGGATGTTTAAAATCATATTTATTAGTTGTATTTTTGTTAGACAACAGTTTTTGTTTTGTCGTTGTTTTTTTTTTTTCAGACAGGGTTTCTCTGCGTAGCCCTGGCCATCCTGGAAGTTTCTCTGTAGACAAGGCTGGCCCCCAACTCACAGAGAGCTGCCTGCCCCTGCCTCCTAGGTGCTGGGGTTAAAGGTGTGTGCCACCACCCCTGGCATATACCAATACACATCTACCCATACACTTGTTCAGTTAATTACTACAAGATTGCTCTCTCTCTGCTTGTGTTTTGTTGTTTTGTAGTCTGGGCTGACATAGAATTTTGAACACATGGTCTCAGCTTCCCGGTCGCTGGGATTATGGACAACAAGCCATGATGTCTGCCTCTCATGTTGCCTACAGGCGGGTCTCTTAAAGAGCTTTATCTGGATTTTATGTCTGCAAGTATGCTAGTGCATTTAGTCACATGCATGTGGCGCCCCCGGAATCCAGAGGGTAGTGTCAGGCCCCCTGAAGCTCCGTGTGGGTTGGGGAACCTGGGTCCATAAGAGCAGCAGGCGCCCTTCACCACTGAGCCAGTGAGCCGCATCGAGGCGGGTTCTTCCGGTGGGGCTGAACCTAATCTGGGACCCCAGTGCCTTCCGCCTCCCCGTCTGAAGCATAGGGATTACTGTCTGCACCGCCACAGAGCCAGCTTCACAAATCAAGCTTTTGATATGAAACTTGTTTTTATTATTTTTTGAAAAACAAGAGGGAAGAGTTCCGTGCTCAGCTCTTTCATCACATTTGCATAATCTCTCGTGGAGTTAGTTGAATGCTAAAACTCAAGTCCTGAAATAGCTTATATTTTCACTTTTTGAAAACCAGAGCTGGGGCTAGAGAGATGGCTCAGTGGTTGAGGACACTTGCTGCTCTTCCGGAGGACCTGGGTTTGGTTCCCAGTAGCCAGATAACTCTAGCTCTAGGGATCGGGCACCCCTTTAGGCCTCCACGGCACGCCAACACATAAATTTTTGTTGTTGCTACATAGGGTTTCTCCTAGACTAGATCTGAGTCCCCCTGCCTCCCTGAGTGCTGGGATTTAAGGTGTGTACAACCACGCCCAGCTGTTTTATGATTTGAGACAGGGTTCCTGTCCTAGAACTCTTTGTAGACCAGTCTAGCCTTGAATGTACAGATTTGTCTGCCTTTGCTTCCCACCCGAGTGCTGGGATTAAAGGTGCGTAGCATCATGCCAGGCTCAAAATAAATATTTAAAAAACAGAGTTAAATGCCTAGTGTGGAAGTAGTTTGTGGCCTTAACCCAAGCCATGTGGGGGCAAAAGCAGGTAGATCGCTGATTTTGGGGGGCAGCCTGGTCTACAGAGCCAGTTCTCAGACAGCCAGGCCTGCACAAAGAAACGCTGTCTCGAAAACCTCTCTCCTCCAAAAAAATAAGTAAATAACAATCAAGATTAATTTACATCTGTGTGGGACAGTATAGCCGAGACATCACTCTTAAGGTGCAGAAGTGTATGCACTGCTGCTTTGGATTGTTTTGGTTTTTGAGACAAGGTCACACGCATGCTCGTGCTGCCATGTGGTTGCTGGGAACTGAACTCAGAACCTCCACAGGAACAGCCAGTACTCTTAACCACTTGGCCATGTCTCCAGCTCCTGAGAACAGGGTCTTACTGTGTAGTCCTGGCTGGCCTGGAACTCACAGAGGATCATAACCATGAGATATGTGGTTCTCCGTAGGTACAGGTCTTCTGCTTGTGATTCGCTCTGTGTGCATGCGCGTAAGTAGGGTGCATGCATGTGTGTGTGGCTGTGTTCACGGACCACCCAGAGGAGGGTGGCAGGTGCCCTGCTCTACCATGTTCTGCCTTACTTCCTTGAGGGTCTATCCAACCCTCTTCTCCTTTTTTCAAGATAGGGTTTCCTGTAGCTGGCCACAACCCTGTGGATAGTCAAGGATGTCCTTGAATTTCTAGTCGTCAGCCTCCTTTACCTCAAGTTCAGGGATTACAGACCAAGGCCACCATGACTGGGATTTGTGTGTTACAGGAAACTGAACCATGTGCATGCTAGGCAAGAACTCTTTCTACCAATTAACCGAGCTGTGCCCACAGCCCCTTAACCCCTGTGTTTACAGAGAGGTATCAGGGTTGACAGTGCGTGGCCACCGGGCCTGCGAACAGGAGTTCCTCTTCTTGGCCTCAGGACAGCTCTTTTTCAGTAGTATTTTCCAGGGGCAGAAAGTCAGCTGACGCTCTGAAGTTAACTGGCCCATTTTAAACATGACTAAGTGTTTCTTGATAGAGTGACTCTCCTGCTGAAAGAGTTTCATGACAAGTGGAGCCTGAAAGGAGATAAACAGCGTTATGAAATTTCTTGTTCATTCTTGAGACGTCTCGAGTACTGAGTATCTTCTGTGTGCTAGACAGTGATCTAAGCGTGGCATCGTGGTAAAACCCGAGCTTCGGGAGGGTGGTCAGATCCATTGCCAGAGAGCACGTCTGTGTTTATCTCCCATGACCTGCTGTGCACACCGAACTGTGACTCTTGAAGCTGGAGTTCATTTTCCCTTTTAAAATCAGGAAATGGAGCTGAAGTTGACAGACTTACCTCTGTGACTCAAAGCCCGGTGCAGTTTCTAGTACGGTATGCAATGCTGGCCATGTTGATATGTGGTTTCCTGTTTTTCAAGAACTACAGCTCAATTCTCATATACATAGTGTTTCTCCTTGGCTAAGCAAGTCTCTCATCACTGTGGATGTTAGAAAGTAAGCATTTTCCTGGAGCATTCAGGGATCCATCTGTGCCCCGGTAGGCGAGTGTCAGGCAGACCTGTTTGACAGACAGGTTGTATTTATCTGCCCCGAGGATCTCAGCTGGGCCTGTGGTCTGCGTCTGTAATCTCAGATGTACAGAAGGCAGAGACAGGAGGATCCTGAGTTCAAGGGTTAAGAGCTAGAGAGATGTTTCCATGGTTATGAGCACTGGCTGGTCTTCCAAATGACCCAGGTTCAATTCCTAGCATCCACATGGTGGTTCCTAATGATCTCTAACTCTCTCCGGTCCCGGGCCCTCTTCTGGCCTCCGAGGACAGTTGCGGCACATGGTGCGCAGACACATGCGTGCAAGGCGAACACATATGCATAAAATAAAAATAAAGTCTCGAAAAGAAAGACAAGCTCAAGGGTAGCATGGACAACTTACTTATTAAGACCTTTTCTAAAATTCCACTAGGCATTGTCACAGATCTTTAATCCCAGTGTTTATGGGAGACAGGGGCAGGCTGATCTCTGAGTTCAAAGCCAGCCTGGCCTACAAAGTGGGATCCTGTCTTACAAAACATATTCAAATGATAAAGTGAGCAGAAAGGGCTGGGTGTATAGTACTGTGACTGGGTAGGTCCCTTTCCTGGGGTTAGGGCTTAGAGACGGGCTTTCTGCCTAGGCAGACTAGCTTCCTTGTCAAATAAGAGACCTCAAAACTAAGGTGGGTAGCGCTCGAGGAGTGACCACTGAGGCTGTCCTGGCCGCTGCACACATGTACCTTACAGTCTGCCCATTTTAGTTCAGAAAAAACCATTATTGAGTTGATAGAGCTCCGT